AACTCATGTGAGCTGTTTGATTGCGAACACAAAACTTCGATCGATACATGTTTGATCACATCTTTTTCGTTTGGCTTGAGCAACTCGAATGAACATGTTGCATCTGACCGACTGATTGAGTTTGATTGTATTTCCACTGTGTGTGATCAAGCCTACTCAATCATACTCATTGCAGCCCTCTGATCTATACTTGGAGGGGTCTAAAATGTATATTTCGACGTGCTACAAACGGAATGACAAACTTAATATACCCTCCATACTTGGGTGGAGGGTATAATAATAATAACGACATTTTTGGTAAATCATTAGATTTTAGGCCCATATCAAAACTCGCACTAATTTCTTCAATATTCAAACATGACTTTGGCACATATTTAATTTACATAAAATAACTCGGAGTCTACTTTTATTCCTTTTTCCTCACGCCTGTTTTCAAATCACCTCGGGCAGTCCGCTGTTCAAGTCACTTGATTAAATCTAAATACTTGCTTTTAAAAATCGTATTTCATATAAGTTATCAATCAATTGCAAAAATGCGTACAACAGAAGCATAAAAAACTCTCAATAAATATTTCAGTAGTTTTATAGGAAATAAAATATTTCAATACCAAATTTGTTTTTATCATTTCTCGAACAGTGTTTAACATTTCCTGAACCAACTAAAGTTAGTGCAACATACTAGCGATAACATGGCGATACATCATGAAAGCCTAAATAACTCTATAATTCAGAAAAAACATAAAAAATTCAATATTTTAATCGATTCCCCTCCATATAACTATGTCAATGTAAACGCTGACGACACTTAAAGGCCAATGAACAAAAATTGAATAAATGAATTTTGAGATGAATTTTGAAATTTAATTTATTTTATTTTTGCAATTACAATTGTAGTTTATTTCTATAATGACATTTGATAAGAACTGTAATTAATTTTGCAATAAAAATCTATAAAATTGATAATTAACTGATAGTTGTACTGATGAATTGGAAATTAAACATAAAATAAATCAAATAAACCGGTATGATATCATTAAATGAGTGAGGAATTTTTTCCTACAGGGTGTTCAGAAGGGGAATTGGAACTCAATAAAATGGAATTATTTTTGAATAACCAAACCCTAAAAAAAGTTATCTCTTTTAGTCCCTATATATCCTAGCAAAAAATTTGGAAGATATATAAGCCGAATAATCACTGGGTTATTCCTTAGAAATAACTTATTTTACTCATTACCAAGTATTGAGTAACGTAGTCATAAAGTGTTAGAAACATGAAACATATTTCATGTTGATGTAGATGTAAGACTTGAAAAAAAACCTAAACCATGGTATGTATGAAGTGTTGTGTTTGACTACAAATCATGAGATTGTGAGTCCAATAGCAGCAGAGAGCAAAACAAAAAAATATAAAAATAAAGCAAATATTTTGTTACTTATTTGTCGAATTATTTTGGACTAACTCTTTATTTAAGGCCACTTTCCATGGTAAAATATTTTTTTGTAAAATCGTATTAAAGTATTCAAACCTAAAAATTACAATAAAAGTTGAAAAAAAAAAAACAATTAAAAAAGGTGTAAGTTTAGCGGGCCGAAATTTTGATACGCTCCACCATTAGGGAAAAATATATTTTTGTACCTCCAAAATACATACAGGATGAGATGCAAAATCTGCAACCAACTTCAGACTGCTGTCATTTCTAAGCCACTTAGCAATTAAATGTGAATAAATCCTTTGTGTCTCGTACCATCGCTCGTTAGCATGATACTGGTAGCGTAGCCTGACGTCAAGGAATTGAACGGAAGAACTCAGCAACATCAGCAGACATGGTTCAAAAATTACAGTGAACCAGTAACGAAAGTCTTCAAGTCGGACGGGGCCGACTTTATGATACCCTACACCACTTTGCTAATTAAGTAGACCTCCACATAACAATTAACAGTTTTTATGGGAGAATTCAATCATACACGCTATGATTATAATTATAATTTAAAGTTCAAAGGACTAAATATGCCGAAGCATTTGTATCTTTAAATTCGGAATTGTATTGCCCATTTGATGCACAATTAATTTGAAATCGGATAAAGGTATATATGGGAGCTATATCCGATATCGATAAAATTTGGCAAAGATATTTCTGAGCTGTATTTGATATATTTCCCTGAATATCGTTGTTACGGAGTGAATATTACGGTTGTGGGTAACAAATATAACAAAGCGGATGAATAATATATATGGAAGCTATAGCTATATCTGAACCGATCTTCACCAAATTTGACATACTAGCTTCTAGACTCAATTCGGTCGTAAGTGCCAAACTCCATCCCATTTGGACAAATATTAGACGTTTGGTGCACAATAAAAAGTAAATCGGACGAAGTTATATATGGGAGCTATATCCAAATCTGAACCGATTTCGATAAAATTTAGCAAATGTATTTCTGAGCTGTATTTGATATATTTTCCCAAATATTGTTGTTGCATAGTGCATATTACGGCGGCGGCGAACAAAAAGAACAAATCGGATAAACAAAATATATGGGAGCTATAGCTATATCTGAACCGATTTCGATCAAATTTGGCATACATATTTTCAGGCCTAATATGAGTGTATATACAAAATTCCATATAATTCGGGCTGATATTACACGTTTGGTGCACAATAAAAGGCAAATCGGACGAAGATATATATGGGAGCTATATCTAAATTTTGACCGATTATCTCCAATTTCAATAGGGCTCGTCCTTGGGCCAAACAAAAGATCTTTGCAAAATTTCATCTGGATCGGGCAATAAATGCGACCTGTACTTTGTTTACAAAAATACATGGACAGACGGACAGACGGACGGACGGACGGACGGACATGCATAAATCGACTCAGAATGTGATTCTGTGCAGATCATCAAAAGGAACTATGGGTCTATCTCGTTTCCTTCTGCCTGTTACAAACAAATGCACAAAGACATAATACCCTGACCACCTTGTGGTGTAGGGTATAAAAATGGCTTGTGAGCTGAACATATCGCAATATTCCATTCGGCAAGCAAAGCCATTGAAATTCCAAAAAGTGCAAGAACTTACACCGCAACGGAAAGAAAATAGACTCTAATGATTCAAAAAGTTGCTTCGCTTGGCCGAAAGTGGTGAACTGCCGAATTTGGTTTTCTCCGATGAGAAAATATTCGTTGTCCAGCAGTTTGTAAACAAACAAAAATATCGTGTTTTCTTGCCAAAGAGGTCAGCTGAATATGTGCACCCTCGGTTGGCCACCAGAACTCAAACGCCGGCCATGGTGGTGGTGTGGGCCGCCATAACAACCGACGCTCGCTCTCCGCTCGTATTAATCGATTGTTGCATGAATGAATGCCGAATATTATGGCGAAAATATTTTGGATGATGTATTAAAGCCTTGGGCACGCAAACATTTTGGCCGCAGACCTTGCATATTCCAGGAGGACTCAGCACCATCACACTCAGCACGCGTCACAGTGGCCGAAAAATGACAAAAGTGAGATTCCTCGCTTCATTTCCAGCGCACAATGGCCCCCAAATCTCCGGATACCAATCCGTTGGACCATTGTGTCCGGATATTTTGGAAAACAAAATTGGCACTAAAAAATGCCAAAGTGTCGATCACCTCATGAAAGCGCTTCGCCGGGAATGGGCCAGAAGATTGGACCGATATTTCCCATCTCCGAACTCGATCTAAGTTTGACAATAAGATTACGACGTCTCATGTGTGGATCAAATCGAATATTCCCTCCGTGAGTTATCAGATAGACGAACGGACGGACAGACACCCATAGATCGACTCCAAATGTCCTGGAACGGATTAGCTCCAAAGAGACAGGCATTCAAACAGACAAGGTCTGAAACCGTTATTTCGATGAGGCGAATTTTGGCCGGCTACATAAATCGTAATTTAAAAAAGTTTATTTAGAAAAAATATTGTATGGATTTTTTAAAAAAAAATTAAAGCTTAATATCTTGGGTTTTTAAAATTATTTTTTGTAGATTTGTTGAAAATATTTCTTAAGGTATTTTCAATATTTTTTAAATGGATTTTTCATTAGTTGTCATGACTATTAAATAAATTGTGGGTTAATTAAAAAATATTTTTCGAAACTTCATAAATATCGATTTAAAAAAAAAAAGTTTTCAAGACTTCGTGGATTTTTTTAAATGTTTAAGGCTATATATAACTTTGACATTTCACCATCGCACTCAGCACGCGCCACCCAAGAATGGTTACAAAATGAGGTTCCTCGCTTTATTCCCAGCGCACAATGGCCACCAAAATCTCCGGATACCAATCCGTTGGACTATTGTGTCTGGAATATTTTGGAAAGCAAAGTTGGCACTAAAAAATACCAAAGTGTCGATCACCTCAAGCAAGCGCTTCACAGGGAATGGCCAAAATACCGCAGAGCAACATTCCGGCAGAGTGTGATAGTTTAATTGGCCGTTCGAAGGCCATAATTCGTGCCAAAGGTGACCAATTCGAACAAATCTAAACTTATTCTAAAATTTGATGCTATTTCCGACATTCTTTGCTTTCATTTAATAAAATTTTAAAAAAATGTAAAGTATTTTTTTCCAAGAAAAAAAAAATATTTTTTTCAAATATTGTACAAGAATACGTAAATTTTGTTTTTTTTTACATATTTTTCATCCTCATCAAAATTCATTGATTTTTACAAAATTCTTTCAAGGATATATCCTGATCAATAGTCGTGATTATAAAGACCGGATTTACGAAATATTTTTTGGATAATTTTGACAAAAAATCGAAATCGTGCATTTTCAAAATGTTTTATTAAAAATATTAGATCTTCTTCCCTTCTTTTGGAAAAATATCCGCTACCTTGTGGTGGTGGTAAATATTTGTGGAAACTTTTTGTTTTAGATTTTTAAGCCCTACAGTTGGCCAACCTTTTTAAGATGCATTTTGGCAACATATAAATATCTCGCTTTCTTCCAGAAAATAATGACTTCATAAAATTCAATTTTAACGCCAATTGGTTATTTATTTATCATTTATTTTATTTTCATTCATGTCTTTTGGGACACCCTGTATAAAATAAATAACTTAAAATTAATAAAACAAACAAAAAAAAAATAAAAATAATAACAATAATTACCTTAATAACTACTCTATGAAATGACCCACAAGGAAACATTTTCTATGCGGTTTGGATGCGTTAGAATTCAGTTAAGGAAAAGGAGAAAAATCCCTGAGCCGATAAAATAAGCAGATCCATTCGAGATTTATTTTTTGTTAACCAAAAAGTTTCCTTGTGTCTCATATTCAATTTTCTAATATTCATACTACAACTAAAAAAAAAACAAAAACTAATGAGGATGGAGGGTTATGAAGATTGGCGCCCAATTGTTTTCATAACAGTAAGAATATCAATAATTAAATATTTTTTTTTTTAATTGTGTAAAAGAAAAATATAGTTTCGGGGAAAAAAGAGAGGTACACAAAGAAAATACAATTTTTTTCTTCGCTCGTATTCCGTATTTTTACTTTAATAAAATTTTAAAATGCTTTTGATGAAAGCAAAATCTCCTCATCTTCGTCGTACTCTCAAAAAAATTCTTTTAGAAAATTTTCAATAAAAACTTCAAAATTTTGCATTACTGCGTTTGTATAAAAATCCAAGTATGTTACGACATATATGCCCAATATCTTCATGAATAGAACCCTCCACCCTCACATATCTACAACTATTTACGTATATAAATTAAATATATATAATCTTTAACATATTTTATATAATTATAATTTTCAAATTTCTCAAATCATAACATATACATGTTCTTTTTTGGCATCGAGCTGTTTATTTACAAGCTACAGAATAAAAATCTCTAACAAAAAATAATATTAAAAAAATAAATTCTTTTTCATTTACAACTAATCTTTAAAATATTAAAAAAAATAATAACCCCAATTTTTCACAGTTTCCAACACTCCCTTATTTATTATCCAACCATGATTGAATTTGTGATGAACTCTTGCCCTTTGTCTCCAGCACCATAAAGGCCACATACATTGTGGCCACAAACATACAAAAGGCAAAGAACCAAAATGTCATATCCGAACCCCAGGCTGTGATCATGGAACCGAATGTCTTCGTTACCAAAAATACCGAAAACCAATTAGACATTACCGTCAATGCCACCGCCGTAGCCTTGACATCGGGCAGGAAAAGTTCACCCATCATCAGCCAGGGTATGGGACCATAGCCCACTGAAAATGTGATCATATACAATACCACACACAGCAGAGGTAGCCATCCAATGGAGGAGACGTCTTTGCCATCGTCTTTCATATCGAAATAGGCACCCAAAATTGCCAAACAAATGGTCATGATGGTACTACTAAATATCAGCAGTGACTTGCGTCCAGCTTTCTCAATCATCAGCGAAGAGGTGAATGTCATCACAACTTGTACAAAGCCCACAATGATGGAACATATCGAAGGATCCAATGTACTGCCGGCAGATTTGAAAATTGGCACCGTGTAGAAAATGACAGCATTCACTCCGGAGAATTGTTGGAAGAACATCAAGAGCATGGAAATAATTAAACCATTGCGAGCCGCCCGTATACGGAAGACATCAGAGAATGAGGCATTGCCGCCGGCTTGATCCAATTCACTTTGTATCTGTTGGATGGCGGTGCGTGAATCACAATAACGACCCCAAAGCCATTTCAACGAGAGAGCGGCGTCACCACGGCGGCCCTGAAAGTAGAGGAGGAGAGAGGGTATTAAAATGTTGGTACATTATTTAGTTACGAGTTATTTGCTCTCACTCTCACTCGGGAGCGAAACTTGCTCGAAGAGTGGGAGTTTTTTATGGAGTGTACTCTTCACTCATTTCTATTGTGTGAAAGTACTCCGGTTTAAAAAATAGAGTGGGAGCAGAATCGCTCAAAATAGATCAAGAGGTTGTTCTAAGAGTGTAAATGAGAAATATTAAAGAGTGATTGGTAAAAACAAAAAGGGTACCCGGCATGAATAGAAAATGCTCGATTTTGAATGAATTTTGCTCTCACTCATATTCGAGTAAAAACGATGAATTGAGTTTGCTCTATTTTTTTCTGCTCGCAGGAGCGCTATCGTTTGAATTCAAGCAATTTTCACTCTTTATAAAAATTCGAGCGAGTTTTTCGGAGGTCTGGTTATCTCACATTTTTAAGTGAAGTATTTCTGGCAAAATTCGGTCATAATCGTATACAAATACAACTTAAATATCCTCTTACCTTCTTCAATAGATATGTTGGTGTCTCTGGCAAGAACAACATTCCAATGAACAAAGCCACCGGTACCAAAAGACACAGAACACTTAATGTTGTCCATGTGACCATAGCACCAATGATATAAACCAATAGAATTCCAATGGACAGTGTCAGCTGGAACAGAGTACCCAATGTGCCTCTTATACTACTTTCAGCAATTTCCGAAATATACATGGGAGCAACAACACAAAAACTGCCAGTAGCCAAGCCTGGAACATCAAAAGGATTTATTTATAAGTGAATAGCTTATTTATATTTCGAAAATCCTACCAATTGTAAAACGAGCGAAATACAGGACCGTCGCGGAGTTGGCAAAAATAGTTGCCGTCCAGGCCACAATAAATGGGATATCCATTACCAAGGCGGTGTAACGACGTCCAATGTAGTCAGCAATGTAACCTAGCGAAAATATCTTTTAATTTCTGGTATAAAATTCGAAAAATAAGTTTTATCTTACCTGTGGGTAAAGCTCCCAGAAACGCACCAATAGCCAATAAGGAACTAACCCAGGTCTCTGCAAATAAAAAATTAAAAAAAAAGAAATAATAAAAATATATAGTACAAACGAGAGCCGGATACTTCGTCAGCAAAAATTCCTCCTTAAAATTTTAGATTCATTCCGAAAATTCGCTGTTAAAATGCATAGTTTGTTTAGTTTGACAAAATTTTTAAATCAATACTTCTCTACATCGTACATTTTCAGACTTAAATTTGAGAATTCTTAAAATTCCAGAATTCCATCTCTATACTATCACCCAATACCAAATATAGTACAATAATTTTTTTTTGTACAAGTATAGTACACATTTCCAAAACGACATCCATATCTCAATCCCAGATACCAACACAGACCTCAATATCAAAAGTCAGGATTCCATCACTATCCCTTCAACCAATACTCAATTTAGTACCACTTGGCACCTTTCAAACAATTATAGTACCCATTTCCAAAACCACCTCCATATCTCAATCCCTGATACCAATAGTTACATCAAATGTGATGATTTCAGCCCTATCCCTTCACTCACACTTCATTTACTTTTCGAGCACTTGTAATACGCCATTCTAGAACCACCACTTTATCACAAACCTACCACCAATAGTCACCCCAATACCAAATTTCTAAATTCCAGCTTCATCCGTTCGTTATAAACCAAGCTATTTCAAATTAAGTACCATTAAGTACAGTTCACAAACTTAGTACCCATTTACAAAACCACATTCATACATAAAAACAAGTAAAAAAACATTAAGTTTGGCCGGGCCAAACTTTTAATACCCTCCACCTTAGGGTAAAAGAAACATTAGAAGAAATGTGGCAAAAACCATTAAAATGCCGAATATCGGGAGGTACCGTTATATGGGGGCTATATCAAATCATGGACCCATGCATGCCATGTTTCGCCACCGAAGCTGAAACCCATTATGACCAACAAATACAAATTTTTAGACAAATCCGTGAAAAAATGTGGCAAAAATCATCAAAATACCGAATATCGGAAGGTACCTTTATATGGGGGCTATACCACAACGTAGACCTATACATGCAATATTTTGCCACACGCTCAGGGACCCGTTATGACCTACAAATGCCAATTTTTAGACAAATCCGTGAAAAAATGTGGCATAAATCATCAAAATACTGAATATCGGGAGGTATCGTTATATGGGGACTATACCAGAACGTGGACCGATATATCTCATTTTCAATACCAACCATCCTAGACACAATGCAAATAGCTCTGCTAAATTTTGGCCCTCTACGTCAAATAATGTGGGCTGTATCGTGATTTCAACAGACAGGCGGACAGACAGACACACGGACATCGTTAAAACGACTTAGAATTGTATGCTGATTATGAATATATATATTTTATGGGGTCTAAGACGAATATTTAAGGATGTTACAAATGGAATGACAAAGTTAATATACCCTCCTTTCCAAGGTGGAGGGTATAAACAGTAGTTTCCTACCTGAATACTTATGCCATATACCCATTTTTAGCTCTTCGCATAAAATTCGAATTTTCAAAAACCCTTCGGTACATCTATCTTGCACTCCATTAGAGAATCTAATTCCAAAATTTCAGAATTATGCCTCATCCCGTTTGTCCGATACAAAGTACTCAATTTTTAGTATATTTTAGTACTTTTCACATCTTTTTAGTACGACAGTCAGTCGCTTACTTTACTCTTTTTTTAATATAGATAGGTAAGGAATAGTCTTGGTATTTTGGGAGCATTTAAAAAAAACTTTTTTATACCCTACACCATAGCATGGAGGGTATTTAAGGTTTGTCATTCCTTTTGTAACACCTCGAAATATATATTTTAGACCCCACAAAGCTTACATATATTCTTAATCAGCATAAAATTCTATGTCGATTTAGCGATGTCCGTCCGTCTGTCCATCTGTGGAAATCACTCTAGTTTCCGAACGAAATGACGTAGGTTGATAAAATTTTACTCAAATGTGTATTATGTCTGCAGGACTTTTGGTTTTAAAAATGGGCCATGTAGGTCGACGTCTTCGTATAGCCCCCATATATTCGACATTTTCATGTTTTGAGCGACATTATTCACCGAAATTCTTTTAAATTTGGCATTTCAAGTTCGTAATGGATATTACAGCCTATGGCAGAAAATTGTCTGCGCAGGTCGACGTCTTCGTATAGCCTCCAATAGCGGTACCTCC